CCAGGTCTATTGGCGGGGGGAAAGTTGAAAAAACCCTTTGCAGCCGAACAGGTAGAGGACGAACCGCCGGGAACTAGGAAATTCGATGAATAAAGCAGGGAAGGGGGGTGGGGGCGAGAGAGCAGGAGATCTGGTTCCAGAAGTGAGCGAACTTATAAATGTTAACCAGAACGATTTTGCCGCAAAGCAACAACATGACAGTGAGGTCAAGGCTATTTTCGACGCGGAAGGGAAAGGGAGTGTGTTTCGTAAGAAACGAAATTTTATGTCGAACGCGGTATAGCGAGAGAGGCGAGTGTTACGAAATGCTAGTAGTACCTAGAGTTCCTACTAGGTATCGTATCGCCATTCTTAAGGTGTTCCATGAAACCGCAAAACCACACATTTTGGTTGCTCTAAAAGTAAATCAAGTATGTCGCAGTATTTTTATGAGACTCATTCTTTCCGGGTTATGGAGACTTACGTAAAATCTTGCGACGTGTGTCAGAAGGTAGGCAGGCCAAATGATCAGAAAAAGGCGCCGGTTATTTTTGGTACTGCCGGTAACGGAAGTATTAGCTGAAATCAATATTGATACCTCTTCCGGGGAGCAAATAAGGCAACAAGTTCATTTTGACAGCCATTTGTTTACCATCTAAAAGAAGGAAGAAAAAAGGGCGTATTTATCATGTAAATACATTCAAGGCACGGAATATTTTAGTTACATAGCAGATCGAAGTACGAATTTCGAAGCAGAGGAAGACGAGCTAAGTAAGTACGCTGTGAACCTCGACAGTACTGACTTCGATGCTGCAGCTATGTTAGGAGAGACGGAAGCCGAAGGTGAGTTTCGAACAAAGCTTTTGAATCTGATACTAAAATATAAGAATATCTTTGGGCCAGGGCTGATCGATCTCGTCACTATGGATATAGAGCTGACAGACGAAACGAAAAAGGTACGGAGTGCATTGTCGTATCGTATTCGCCTCGCCAATCTAGAATCTTTCAAGAAGAAATTGCGAAAATGCTTACAGATAACGTCATAGAAAAGGGCGATTCGAAGAACGCGTCGCCGATGATTTTAGTTGAGGCACCGGGACTAAAGACACGTCTGTACGTAAACTACAGAAAATTGAACCAATTTATTTGGGCGGAGTATTTATCACTGCCGAACGTGGAGGAAAGAATTGTATCTGTGGCGGCAGCGAACATAATTACAACCTTAGATTTGGCGAAGTTATATCACCAAATACCGCTGATCCCGAGAGCGCAAGATAAAGAAGAATACAACAGATAAAGAAGAATGAAATATTGGAAGAAACGTAAAGAAAGAAAAACTCATTAGAAGTAATTTGATGTGATTTGAAGTGATTTGAACAACACAACCAAGTGGTGGATCAAAAGAAAATATAATAAATAATAAATAATAATAATAATAATAATAATAATATAATAATAATAATATATTTGACCACCATTTTTTATTTGTAACCAGGAACCTCAAGACAGTGCACAGCTACATTTCGAATATGGATGGCCCTTTTTACTTTCTCGCAACTGCTTGCGCAGTATAGATTATATATAGTAATGCTTCAACAGAATTTTTGACAGAAAAACTCTTCTGGCGTGAAAATTATTTACATATATCAACTACAGTAAAATTGTACTCACTTGGGCACAGATATCTTGCTTTCTGCAATGGTGAATCAACTGAATTGTCATCATTGCATGGTGCAAGAGGACCCTGCAAGCGAAACAATGTTTCCATCAAGCAGCTCAAATTCCAATCAAGTTCCATTAGGATACAAGGTTCTGTGTATTACACTAAAGACATTCACTCAAATAGTAGAAAATGGAGTTCTTTACATGTATGGAAGAATTTCGAGCCAAGGCTCCTTCGGTTCAGGTCACTGAATCAGATAATGAGTGTTGCGGGATTGCAGCTTTTCCAAAGAAAAGATATTTGGCTGAAAGCTTGCGACCTAACCTCAATCACACGGACGAAAGAGAACAGATATACACGTGACTCAAAGCTCACTTCAATCAGACCCATTTTTCATAACTATTCATTAAGATTTTTTTTTAAGAAAAGGAAGGGAAATGAAAATTTGGTAATACAATTATTATCAAGGACTTTCATCTTTGATTTTAAGTAAACTGCTAATTACTTCCTATATAAAACTAAACCACACGCATGAACTATTTTGGCACTGCAAGCTAATAACTTCAGAATAGTACTAATTCAAATATGTTAGTGATAAACAATTGTTTGCAATAAAGGTCACAATGCTTTTAAACTCAAAAATTCATCTCTAACTGTTACCTTTGGAGGCTGATGCAAAGTAACTCCCATCCTATGGTAACTTGCTCTACACATTTATAAATTAAATATAAAAAGCATAAGTAAAGGATGGCATATAGTATCATTAAGTGTTACTACTAACACTGAACTAGCTAATAAAATTATAAAACAATGAAGAATTCAACAAAAATGTCATTTTTTAAATCACTCTAGAATTAAACATCAAAAAAGTGGTGCATAGTATGGTAATATTAATGTTAACAATGATTCTGAATGTACTGAATGCAACTACTAATTGGACTGTATAATTTTAAACCACCTGTAACAAGTATTGTACCTCAGCTTGTGGGACAATGACCTCTATCCCGATCAGGTTTTTCATTCAGTTTTCCTGATCCTTCGAGTGACTGCTGAGATGATACCTTCTCGACACAAATGTAACTTCACTATCTGTACACATCATTTAGAGTTCTGTGGGTAATACATCGTTCTCTATGTTTTCACAACAGGAAGTCCTCCATGATTCCTTCACAATGGGCACGAAGAGGGATAATAGCCAAACTCTGTAATTGATTTGCTTTTGCAAATAGTTTGTATTGCCTGGAGCAATTTTTTTCTTAGCAATTCTTGTCAAAAATGCTAATTTCATCTGTATTCAGAATTGAACTTATATATAGGTTAGGGTAGGGATCCCAGAATTTCAGAAAATGTACACTGAAATTCTGGGTTACACTTCTCCCCATACACTTCTTCTCACAGAGTTGTTAACTGTTAATGCAAATAAATAAATCAATTAAAAAAATAATAAATAAATAAATGTCCCATCCATTTTCTTTCTGAATGACCTCATAATTATCTCAGAGGACACAAATTGAGACATTTCGTTCACAGTACTAATGTTTTTTTGAAAAAATATTCGATAGCATTTCAAATATTTTCCAGTTCTTGCTTTCAGACTACCACCTCTGCACCTTCTCTTTGCTATCATCAAAAATAAAAATAACAACACAGCCAATTCATAACAAAACCTTTCTACCCGTTGCCCACTGACAACTGTTTACGAACACTGAGCACTTGAGACCTTCCCAATGGTGTGAACCTATGAAGAAAATAATAGTACATAGTCTTCCACCACCTTTAAAAAATCACTTGCACCCTTCAGGTTAAATCAAGGCAAAAAATGTTTTCTGCATGATAACTTTTTCATGTTTCATCGATGAAATTCCATGTAATTAATTTAAATTTAATTATTTATATTCACAATTTGTATCCTATTCATTTTAAAATTGGAAAAGGTTTGGTTCATAATCTAAAGATACAAGTTGCAAAATGTTATTGACATAGGATATGATTTTTAAAGATATGTAATAAATATTGAGGAGTCAAAGACAAATGTTTGTGAAAATTTTGGATATATTTTTAAATACGTCAAAATTGAAATTGTTTATAATATTTGTCAATCTCCAAAAATGCATTATGTCATTTTCAGGTCTGTCGTACTCTCATATCTTTTGTAGATCTCCATCATGCAAATAAGTCACTTCAAATTTTTTTTGATTTTTTAACCATTAATGTTAGCAGAATTTGTGAATTAATTTTTTTTTAAAGAGAAAAATTAGTAATAAAATAGTATTTCGGAAATTTTTTAGGCACTGAACATGGGATCGTCTCAGTAAAATATTAAAGCCTTTCTGAAATGAATGGCTATAATTTTGTCTGAGAGAAAATGTTACTGAAAAAATAATAGCAAATTATTTGAACAGTTTATGATCTCACTAAAATATTTTATCTAGAATATCTAAATATATATTTTATCAGGAAGAATATATATATATTTTATCAAAGAATATCTAAAATATTTTATTAGAAAAGGGATAATTTTTAATGTTTCTACACAGGGAGGATGGAAGTGTTTGGTTAATATATGGTTTTATTTCATTATCAATACACATATATTGAAACACGTACATGCTTTCTCCTAAATGCCTAATTGAGTTCTGGGAATCCTCCTGCCCTTCTCTGACCACTCTTGAATGGTTTACGTATTTGTGGGAAGATGTTATTTTACATTATTTAGGAATTAAGTGGTGTAAACACTCTAGGACAGGTCTTACAGTATTCAGGATACTGCTTTGCATCAAACTAAATTCTCAACCAATGACAATGTACTCAAGTGCTAAACAGCACCTCTTAAGAATGAATAAGAACAAAACATTCGAAGTGACACATACAAGAAGTACCATGACTTGTTCAGCAATTACCCTAACAGTCAATAGACGATGAGAGTCCAAAAAAGCTTTCACTTTTACCACACTGTCTTCAATTTTATTCAAGGAAGACTGCCTTGACCATTCATGATCTTCAACAAGCTCTTTTCCTTCCCAAAACAATTAGGTCCACCCAAAAACACTGAATGAATCCACAGCAGTATTCTCGAAATGCAACCATGCCAAGAGGCTCATACACAATTTTATGGATTTTTGGGGAAATTGTTATAAACTCCCATAGCACCGAATGGCCCATGTTGGAGCTTGACGAGGTTCACTTGATGTGCAACCTACAATTTGCAAGAAGTTGAAGCCAATTGCCACCTGTTGTAGTTGTTGCTGCCTTACCAGCCCCAAATCACCAAGTATATTCATAGCAACCCTCAATTCACTATTTAGTAATGAACAATCCAACTACTATCATCATCATTTACTCATGAACACTTCCAACTACTTTCGTGACAACTTCTTGTAGTCCAAGCAGTTGCATATGTACCACTTGAAGTTTAATTTCCAATTCATGCCATGTCAACATATTATTGAAGTTTCATCTCCCAGATTTACACTCTTTACTGTGCAAAATGATAGTGATGAATTTTAGAATTAATTCTACAATACAGAGCTTCAAAAAAATCTTATTAATGAGAAATAAATTCACCTGTATGGTGTTCAAGAATTTGAATAGAAAAGCACCATAGAAACTCAGCTCTGGTGTAAGGGGTGACTAATTCCTTCCCCTTTCTGTTCACACTTATTTATCTTTCCGCATCTCTAAGAGCTAAATAGGTGAATTGAGTAGCCTTGAAGCTCCCAGTACCTACAAATATTTCCTTCTCATTCTTTTCCTACATATCCTAATCTGCTTTCTTCTGTGATCAAAAGAAAGAAGACCATGCCTTCAGTAACAAAATGAAGACCTCAATGACAATAAAGTGGACAAGGCAACCCTTCCTACGGGGCTAGTACACAGGAAAGCAAGGCTGGAGGCTTCGGGATGGTACCCCATCACCAGCCAAAACTGTGAGGGGTTAGTAACACACCCACACTTTTTATATCCACTTTCAATCCTAATATTGATCAAAGCCAAACTTTTCAAACAAATTAGGCACAAAACCCCTAACTGGAGAATGTATAAAACAGCAAAGAAAAACAATTGTCTAAGTGGTGTGGATGAACATAAAGTAGTGTTACAATAATTAAATGCTTTTTTTAATTGAAAGATAATTGTCCAGTATTTTTAATTAAGAGAAATCAAATTCAAAAGCTGAAAAAGCTTTTCTTTTTCATTCAATGAGGTGAATTCACTATTAAAATCAAATAAAAATAAATTACTCATTTCCTTCTTCTTCATCTGTATTTAAAGTATTTCTATTTTTAAATACACCTATTTTAAGTATTTAAATACATCTCCAAAATACATGTCCCACAAAAAATCAAAAAAGCAGGCCGACTGGCAGACGTTCTGCTGCCATCCAGGCTTGAGACATTATAATTTTGGTAACAATGCACCACACACTACTCACCTCTCCTTCTGCCTGAATCTCCCCAGTCCCACATTTTATAAAAACTGCTGCAGGAGGATCCAACTCCTGCAGAAAAAGAACACAATTACTTTTATGGTTAAATATTCCACAACATTTTTTATTTACAGTGAAAAGTCATTACAGCAATTACTGATGTAAATAATGTCAGTGTTATGAAATTATATTCAAGATCCCATTAATTTACTAATGAGTTATAAGTAAAATAAATTTCATATTAATGAAATTTGAACTATGAATATACTTGTTCTACGTTACATTATAAAAATTCATAACATCTTTTATGGTTTTGAAATACAAATTCAGGTCAACATTTTTTCACAGAGTCAAAACTATTCCTGGCAAATGGGGGTGGATGCTACAAACTCAAAGGAAGAGATATTGGAGTCAACCTTACAAATGACTATTACAATCTCTAACAAATGAATTACAGATATGTCAAGGTTGTTTTAATAAGTGAAGCATCTTTTGTAAAATATTAAATTAAAACTAGCGATGCTCAACAGCACATAATTTCTTGAGTAACTTGTAATGGCTATGCAATATTATACTATGAACCTGCAAATGTGTTTCCAACCAATAAAAATTGTTTCATTGCACTGAGATTAATAACCCTTTTCTGCTTCAGCAATTCAGAGTCCCTGCTGTCAATATTAGAACTACAAATGTTTTTTACACTAATATGCTCAGATCCTTATATACCAACAATAACACTATAAATAGAACTTGTACCTGAGACACTCATAAAATTGGTATTTCTGAACCATTTTAATTGACACTCAGAAATCATTGTGAGCTTGAATGAACATCAATTTCATTATTTCATTCACTTATACATATTTCAACAACTGCTTTTCTACTCTGCTTGTGAGTTTATGAAACACACATTGTATCAATTCAATGAACTTTCTACTATGTGTCATTGTAACTAGTTTGGCTAGAAAAGGACTTAGGTCGCTGTATTTTTGAAAATACTACATAAATAAATAAATAAAAGTTACAAGTTCTTCTGTTAAAAAAAATTGCAGATTTTTGCTCTACACTTACAACACTTTCTCTGAACCACTTATGTAGTATGGTGAGAAAGTGAAATTGTTTGAAGACATAGTTTTCTAAAGGAACATGTCTTCAAGGAGGTATGTCAGTCAAACCTGATATTTTACTGGAAAATAAGCTACCCTAAATTTTCAAAACGACATAAAAAGTAAATCCTCCATATTTTGATGTTACTGAGGAAGAGAAATATACTTTGGTTTTCCGGGAAAAACACAGAAAGTTACTACTTGGAAATCAAAAAATAACCCGTTCACAAATGCCCTGGAGTGAATGTGTCGGGGGGGGGGGGGGACCAAGGGCCCTTGTGCCTGGGCAGCTCAACAACAT